CAGTGCATATGGTGGAACTGCAGGGGTAGGGATCTACTTTGGAATGAGTCCTGGGCAATAATCCGTCACTCTGTCATACATAGATTACTCAGAAGGGGATCTTTGGATCCGAAACTTAATATAGGTCAAACCGATTTTCAATACAGGGCAGTTCAATCAAATCACACGGAATGGAATGTAGACTCTCTTAGAATTCCTGTTCACTTTTTTTAAAAAACAATTACCTGTCTGCTGGAAGGTGTAAGTCTCTCTTCTGGGCTCTTTGTGCTAAATGTCATCAATTCCTAAACATTCAGAAGGAAGAAACACTATTACGAAAAACAATCTTTCGCTAGGATTTCGGTGAGTCTTAAAATATGGCACACAATCCAGCTGATTTATTTTGTAGCATATGCACTTAAGAAATATAAGCATCTACTCATTAAAAACAAAATCCAGAAGGGATATAACATGAAGCATGAAAGGTTTAATGCTGTTTGAAATGATTTCTCTTTTCTCTTCAAGGGACACTGGGGATATTCATTAATATTTGACAATATTGTTTGGGACCAAATAAAACTGCGTGATTTAACCAAGTACAAGTAAAAATGACAATATTATCGGTCTATATCCCTATCACCTGACAATTTTTTAGCTGATCGAAAGGTTTTAAACAGAGGTACGTATAAAATTGTGGACGAAAGGCACCCCTGTAGTCAAGGCATTTCCCTCTCTTATTCTAGGAAGGAATCAACAAGAAACAATGTATGCCAGCTTTGTCAACATGATTGATTTTACCCTTATGAAACTAAAACTCACATGATTAGCTAACATTTAGACTAGAATACAACAGAATCATATGAGATGGAAGGGACCCCAAGGGTCATCTAGTCCAATGTAGTGGTTAAGAGCGGTGGACTCGTAATCTGGTGAACCGGGTTCGCTTCCCTGCTCCTCCACATGCAGCTGCTGGGTGACCTTGGGCTAGTCACACTTCTCTGAAGTCTCTCAGCCCCACTCACCTCACAGAATGTTTGTTGTGGGGGAGGAAGGGAAAGGAGATTGTTGGCCGCTTTGAGACTCCTTAGGGTAGTGATAAAGCGGGATATCAAATCCAAAATCCAAATCCAAACCCCGAACGTGGGAATCTGTAGCCCAATGTGGGACTTGAATCAGTGACTCTGAGATTCAGAGTCTCCTGCCCTACCTACTGAACTATCGCCCATCTCCCCTAATAAGACCTAATTAAAAAGATTTCTCAGTTAAAGCAGTCTTGTCCAGAAAACTTCTTATACCAAGAAAGGGAGCAATTCATATGTACCGAAATCAGGCACAACATTGATTTCCGAAGTGAGGGATTCAGGTTTAGCTCTCAACTGACTCAAGGTCCCCCTGTGAGCTTTGCAGCTAAATGATGACCTCTCATCCTGTCTTACCTTGTTAATGGTAGATAAGGGTAGCAGAGCTGAAAAGGGCTACAGAAATGACTAGCACGACAACTTGGCTTTCTGAGCTCTTAAGAACTCATTGCAATATTGTCCCAGATGCGCATTTAAACACTTACAAGTGTTTCAGTCAAGAAGTAAAACTGAGATTGGCTGAGCCACTGGTATTTTTCTGAATGAATGGACTCGGGGAGATCTCTTGGAACAAAGACAGCACACCGGACTTGGCCTCTGCAGACCTTCCTGTGGATACACAAAGGCTGCGGCTCACAGGGTTTGAATACAAATACTGAGGGGAAGAAAAAGAAGAAAAAGAGAATTTTAGTCTTTAAGAACCGCTTTCCGCGTTGCTTTTCTGAGGTCTGAAGTCAATGCATGATCAGAAAATGATAAAGAAACCCATACATTCAGTATAGCTCCTGGTACTTATATGGGAACCTATTAACGGAGTATAAATAAAACCAGTCCCCTGTCTACAGAGTTCCACCAACAAAGAATAATATGGATAAAGATACAGCATGCTAGGCCTAGTTCTCAGTCAGGTGGTAAAACCTGTCATTGGACTGTACCACCCCAGTGAGAAATAGGCTACAGAGCAGGGATGGGGAACTCCCATCAGCCTTAGGCAGTATGGGCTAAAATGCTGGGCATGATGGGAATGTAGTCTGGCAGCATCTGCAGGACCATGGGCTGCCCAACCAACTGTAGAGTATCACACATTGCAGGATAAGAACAGTAAAAAGGAAACTCCTGAAATGGAATAGGTTTCCCCCCCACCATAGACTCTAAACTCCCTGACAACAACCACCCCACGTACAGAAAACAAGGAAATGTGAACAAGATATTATCGCTCACCTGATCTAGCCCAGTAGGGGGTGAGAGTTATTAAAAGGCTCTGCGGTGCGAAGACTGTCAGGTGGCCTTTTTCATTAAAATAGCTTTCTTATAATGAAAATCTACAACCCAGAAAACAGATCTCAGGGCAAGACTCTAAGCGACATGGTATCCCAAAGGTCTGCTAGACAGATTGCCCTACTTCGGGTAATGGTTAAGAGCACCTTGCTCTAGATCAGGCGCCCCCAAACTCAGCCCTCCAGCTGTTTTGGGACTACAACTCCCATCATCCCTAACAGCACCAGTGGTCAGGGATGATGGGAATTGTAGTCCCCAAAAACAGCTGGAGGGCAGAGTTTGGGGATGCATGCTCTAGATAAAAGGGGTTTGGGTGCTAAAACACAAGGAAGCTCAGGCCAACCAATTCTGGGGCACTTGTCCTCTCACCCAGCAATCCCACCATGCTCCAGCCTGGTTCAGAAGGACCAGTGATCTTATAGATGGGCATTTTGGGGATGCAGTTGTGGGGGGAAAAGAACAGTCCACTTGGTTCAGGATTCTGTTCTCACAGAGGAAAACCAGAGGCTTATGGGGAAGCCTGAAAGCTAGGTTTGAGTACAAGGGGGATGAGAAACACTCCGTCAGCAAACTTTCTTGTCTTTAAGATCCCAAACCATGATATAGTTTCCATGTAGACAAGAGCGGCCTATTTTAAAGAGTTATTTTAAGTGGCTTTCAAGTCCAAGGAAGTAAAATATTTTCCTGGGCAGTATGGTTCTGCAGTTTTGGCCAGTGATCCTTAACAAAAATGAAAGAGGTCTTTATGCTCACCATCTGAGTATGCCGAGTGGGATGAAACCGCGACGATGTTCTCAGACAGACAATCTGGCTGCAGAACAATGACATTTAATTGGGCACTCCATTCCACTGAAAATCAAAATAACCAGATTATGAAGGAGAACCACAGACTCCCAAGGATATGCTTTGCAACGAAGGATGGAACTGGAATCAATTCAAACCATGAATGCAGCTAGGAGAACTTTCAAAGGGAAGATCTGAACTGGGGAGCAGAGGTCGGTTGAGGATTCAGCAACAATACCTGCCGTATAATTTTATGCAATACGGTTCCAATGACTGGATAAATAAAACTGAAAGTATTTGGCGTTAAGCTTAAATATAAAGCAATTTGCCTCCTTGGGTTCTCTCAGAATGACCAATTTTTAATCAAAGAAAGAACAGAAGGAAGGAAGGAGGGAAGGAAGGAAAGGTGATAAAATGGTCTTACATGTACAGCTCAGCAAGTTCCAACAGCACAAAAATCCAGTGTTGGTGGTGCCAAGAAGGTATTTTGAACAACTCTGCCTCCCAAAACACAGGTTTCTGGAGGAATAAATAACAAAGATAATGTTAATTAGTCGTGTCCATGAGATATTTCGCCGTAGGGTCACTATATAACCTAAGACAGGCATGGGCAAACTCGGCCCTCCAGATGATTTGGGACTACAGTGCCCATCATCCCTGACCACTGGTCCTGTTAGCTAGGGATGATGGGAGTTGTAGTCCTAAAACATCTGGAGGGCCGAGTTTGCCCATGCCTGATCTAAGGCAACCCTAGCTCACTTCAGGCAGCTATTTCTGCCATTTAACTGTCCATGGTTGAAATGGTTACAGGAGGGAGGCCAGCCATGTTTGCCTTAGGTGCCATGCCTGCATTTTCCCCAACCCTCGCTCAAGCGCTCATACCTCACAGACGGGTAAAAGATGGGAATCTACCTTCTGCATGCTTTAGTATAAAGTTTAAGCAAGTAATTTTAAGTGAAAGGCTATATGTGTGCTCAAAAGAAAGCGCTTTATTACCGTTTTGGAGACCTAAAAAGGTAAAGGGACCCCTGACCATTAGGTCCAGTTGTGGCCGACTCTGGGGTTGTGGCACTCATCTTGCTTTACTGGCCGAGAGAGCCGGCGTAGAGCTTCCGGGTCATGTGGCCAGCATGACTAAGCTGCTTCTGGTGAACCAGAGCAGCGCACGGAAACGCCATAAACCTTCCCGCCGGAGCGGTACCTATTTATCTACTTGCACTTTGACGTACTTTTGAACTGCTAGGTGGGCAGGAGAAGGGACCGAGCAACGGGAGCTCATCCCGTCGCAGGGATTCGAATCGCTGACCTTCTGATCGGCAAGTCCTAGGTTCTGTAGTTTAACCCACAGCGCCACCCGCATCCCTTTGGAGACCTACCACACCTTAAAAAGTGGGTCACAATGGGCACTGCTGATGCCTAGACGAATCAGGGATTCAAGAGTCAGGATTGGCCAAAGTCTTTCCATTGAACCACCACACAACCTTTCTCTTTCTTTTCGATCTCAAGAGCAATTTTGTTTGCGCTCAGACTCTTATTTTATGACCCTCTAATTCCAACAAGAGAGATCCTCCCCCCCTTACAACCAGGTAAATGTTTACTCTAAATAAACAGAGAGGCATTTCTCGGCTAATTGTAGAGCTTACAGCTTCTTAGAAAACCCGTTCTGTTGTAATCCTCCTTAAGATGACACTGGTGTGGGCAGGTGCTAAAAAAGCAGGGCAAGATTTCTTTAGGAAACTTTTGCAATAAATAAGCTAGAAAGGGGAAGCAAGCAGCATGCAAGAAGGTAATTCCAAAAGCGCAAGGTATTTCTGCAGTCTTGTTGAAATCAAACTGTAGGCAACACCCAATGTCACATGACAGAACTTCTACTTCCTTCTCATGGCCCAAACTTCCATGAGCCCAATAATCTGCTCCAGAGGATTGAGGACCATCTGGGGCAAAATTTGAGGGAAGGCTGGTGGCTGCAGGAGGGAAGATGGGTGTTTGTTTCCCACCCAATGCAATTTCTAGTTCTGCACAGATTCTTCTGGACACATGTAAAAAATAAGCTGATTTTGTTACAGAGCTTTGTTGCTATTTAAAGATCTTTCCCTCAAAACCAACGATTCTTGTGAAAGCTCAGAAGGGCCCAATAAAGAAGTTTCTGATAGGAAAATATTAAGGATTACTGCTTTAAAAACTTTGGGGGAATATTAGGTTAGTTTCATTACATGCTTAATGAATTTATTTTTTTTAAACTGATTTAAAATAAAGGAATTCATGGTTACTTACCGTATAGTCCCAGGAAGATGGCAGAAAGTACATTTGAGATCCCACAGTTCCGAGTCCCAAACAGTGACTATTTTGTCAAAGCTGACTGCAAGCAAAGAGCCATCTTCGGAGAAACAGCAATTTGTAGCTTGATAGTTGTGATAGCTTCCTACGAAGTCGCAGGCCCAAGTTATGTTTTGATCTGTTAAAGAGAAAGAAATCCCACACGTTTATAACAGGACATATGTGTTAAAATTGAGTAACATGATAAATAGTATGTAAGAATATTAAGGCAAGGGTCCACAATTTCCATTTGGCTTTGGTACCCAAGCCAAGAACTATGATCACTTGTCTCACCCCTTGAAAGGTGAGGCAAGGCGATCCAGACCTTCAGTGGAAAAGGGAGGTTTCCTGGTCTCTCTTTGGCTGCAGAAGACCAAGAATCCTTCATTGCCTTTTCCATAAGGGGAGGCAGGGCTTACACATTTGGGCGCCGCATTGGAACAGCAGTCTTCCACCACGTCTTCCTTCTTAGGGCAGCAAGTAGAGTGGCGGGGAAATGCTTGACTGTTTGGACCTGTGGCCACAACACTCCCCACCTTCTTCCTAACCCTGAAACTGGGAAGAAGGTAGGGCAGGCATCCCCAAACTCGGCCCTCCAGATGTTTTGGGACCATGACTCCCATCATCCCTAGCTAACAGGACCAGTGGTCAGGGATGATGGGAGTTGTAGTCCCAAAAAACATCTGGAGGGCCGAGTTTGCCTATGCCTGGGGTATGGGGATTGTTGTGCAATTGCTGAGATGACCCTTGCCCATAGCTGAAGCTTTTGAGGCTGGGATTTGCCATTGTCACCAGACAGCAGTGCCACACTTCCTGTGGGCAAGCAAAAATGCTGGAATCAGGTGAGGGCGCTTAGTTAATACCTAACTGTGTGTGCTCCTTGAGCATTTAATCAAATGTTAAATAAGCCATTACCTTATTTAAATTGCATATTTCTGCTGACATCAACTTCAACAGCAATTCTGGGATAGTGATCACAAATGTGTAGGCTTTTCCTGGTACAAAGATGACTCATTGTTTTGATTAGAAGGAAGTACTTAAATCCTGAAAAAGGATAGTTGAGGTGTGTGACCACCTCAGCTGTTTTTCCTGGGATGTGTCCAAGGCCAATTTCAGACTTGCGTTGTAGGAGTCGCCAGGACCACATTAAAGAGGCACTATATTCTTATACCACATTAAATGGGTACTATATGTCTTTTGCTGAATGCCAGACATAGGAACATATGCCTTTTTGTTTGAAAACAATCCCAGATATGGCTTCCGGTTCCGCTCTGCCTTAATAGATTGCAGGCAGGAGATTGTAGGTGAAGGAAAAAGGATGTTTGAGGGTAAATCATCCTTGCAAATTCCACCCCCAGGGATAGGAGGAATGGGCTTCACTTGGAGTTCGTCTCGGTACCTGGCTCTCGCTCTGGCATGGAATGCGGGGGGGCAGAGAGGTGCTGAGTGCAAAAGCACTTTGCCTGGTGAAAACCCTCCAATGCCGCCATTAAGAAGCAGAGGTTCTCCTGTTAATTAGAGCTTAATTGGGCCAAAGTACAGGTGTGTGGTAGAAGAGATGAGAGCACAAACTGTGGAACAAACCAACTGCAAGGACTTTAAGGTTTAAATTTGTGATAAGACTTCATTTGATGCCAAAGATTGGGGGGGGGGGAGAGCCTATGGTTTCTTTATTTAAAGATTTCTTCTTTACATTTATGATTCAGCAACTCTCCTCTGAAAGTTAGTTCAATTTATACTTCCAACATGTATCTGATTCCGCCTTCTAATTCAGACTTAAATACCATCTATGAATATATTCCAAGTAGTTCTTTCTCAATGAATAACATGCAGTAAATTTCAGGTCGCTTTTCCAAAGTTTCTCCCAGAGGTTAAGATCTATGTTGTGTCCTATATCTATTGCCCAGTATGTCACTGAAGCTTTAACAAGCTCGTCTTTTGTTTCCCATTGTAATTAAAAATTATACATTTTAGAGAGAGTTTTACCCTTATGTTGTAAGATTTTTTTTTTTTTAATTGTGAGCTTTGGTCCAAAAATCAATTCTTTCTATCTAATTTGTGTATGTGGTGATATTGCAACCAATCCATAAGTTGGCTCCTTAAGTTTTCCATTGATTTCCGTTTGGGTCCCCCCCCCCCCCCCGGTAAAAACCAGCAATTCCCTGTAAATTGGTATTGTTATAATCAGGCTATTACAGTGGTGCCCCGCAAGGCGAATGCCTCGCAAGACGGAAAACTCGCTAGACGAAAGGGTTTTTCGGTTTTGCGTTGCTTCGCTAGACGAATTTCCCTATGGGCTTGCTTTGCAAGACGAAAACATCTTGCACTTTTTTTTTAAAGCCGCTTGAAGAGGCGCGGTTGCGACGGACCGTGCTTCGCAAGACAAAAAACATCGCAAGACGAAAAGACTCGCGGAACAAATTCTTTTCGTCTTGCGAGGCACCACTGTACTGGACTGTAATTGAAAACTAATAAAAACAATTTATTAACCAAAAAGAAAACAATCCCAGACTTGCCCTGTGTTTTCTGTGGGAAGCTCTTGTTTCTGACCTGAGGATGAAACAAACACAATCTAAAGGCATCAGAAGCACACTATGTGAATCTACGAAAGGATAAAAGTGTTGCTCTGCCTTGTTTCAAGTCCCCTGCCCTTATCAGTAAACAGAGAGAAGAGGATTTCCCCCCTCTCTATGGTGAATAAAAGCACAATGTAGTATTTTACAGGTACACCACCATCCTTTTACTCACTTTCACCATCATTGTCAACCAGTAGCATCCAGACTTTGAAGTGCCCATCGTTGCCAGCCGTTACCAAAGTCGGGCTTATATTTTCAGATGCGTCTGTGCAACGGAAACACATAGCTGTGACACAATCCTCATGCGGCATGTTTATTCTTGTGTTCAGAGTAAAGCTGCAAGAAAGGAGGAGAGAGATTCCTTGAAGCCACAGTGCTTAAGGGCACCTAACTCTATGTCAGATTGCGATCACCGTAAGCACTATACTTTGACATTATAACCACCCTCCCTAAGAAAATAAGATAGATAAAATAAAAAGGATGGAGATTTTATTTTTTTTACATTTTCAGTTCATCTGACTGCATTCAATTTGATATCTTGATTATTTAATTTCTATACTGCTTAACGCTAATAAAAGGATCTCTAAGTAGTGTACAAAAAAATGAACAACACATAAAATATTGTAGTTACAGGTAGGTAGCCGTGTTGGCCTGCCGTACTCAAAACAAAATAAAAAAATTCCTTCCAGTAGCACCTTAGAGACCAACTAAGTTTGTTATTGGTATAAGCTTTCATCTGCATGCACACTTATCTGAAATGGTATCTGAAGAAGTGTGCATGCACATGAAAGCTCATACCAATAACAAACTTAGTTGGTCTCTATCTAAGGTGCTACTTTAAGGATTTTTAAAATTTTGTTTAAAATATTGTGACAGTACAGAGCTACATATAAAATGGTAATTGCTTCAAAGTTACATATATACAGTCGTACCTTGCAAGTTGAGCGGAATCCGTTCCGCAAGTCCATTCCACCTTCAAAACGTCCGGAAACCAAAGCGCAGCTTCTGATTGGTTGCAGGAAGCTCCTGCAGCCAATCGGAAGCCGCAGAAGCCCCGTCAGACTTCCAGAAATAGTTTGCAAACCGGAACAGTCACTTCCAGGTTTGCAGTGTTTGGGAGCCAAAATGTTCAACTTGTGAGGTGTTTGGGATCCAAGGTATGAATGAATGTGTGTGTGTGTGTGTGTGTGTGTGTGTGTGTGTGTGAGAGAGAGAGAGAGAGAGAGAGAGAGAGAGAGAGACACCCTCCCTTAGCCTCTGGGTTCTCACTCGGGGTCCAAACAAACTCTCAGCTTACCCCCAAAAGCCTCGCAACGAGAAGAGTTCTTGGAAACAGCAGAGATCACCCTAGTCTCTTACTTCAGACTTGTTTTTTTTATGGGCAGGCCCACTTCCTCAGGCTGCCCACAGATGTGTCCCATTCAGCTGCAGGAGCTTCTGTTTCCATAGTAAGAGGCACATATCTGCCTTGGTGGATACTGTTACACAGGTTCTGACCAACATGACAGCAGCCATAGAACAGGAGCAGCCATGCCACTAGGGCACATGTTGGGGGGATCTGTGTGCGCACATGTGCATGGACAAAGTAATGATGCGCAACAACTGCACATGCATGCTCCCTTTGATGCTCATACCTCAAGTCCCATCTTGTCACAGGTTTAATGGGGGCAGCAAGTGTGGGCAATGAAAACACTTGAGACTGATAAATCTAAATTATCTGAAACAACCGGCTTTCTGCCAGCTTGCTAGACAATGCAAGCATGAGTACCTTTGCTTTTGCTCGTCGTAAGCCCAGAGTTTCATGTACATTTCAAGATCGCTGCTGCTTCCTTGCCGCTGTTCTACAGTAGCCAGCCAGTTGCCTTCGGAATCAAAAGCAGCCTTCACTAACTCAATCTGGTTCAGCCCATGTTCATGAATATACTCCTGCTGCACAATATCCAACTGCAATTTTTTGAAAGAAGAGATGAAGTAGGTTTATGGGCTCATGCACATTTGGAAGGTCAGTCAGTCAATGAATAATAATAACAATAATAACAATAGTAATAATAATAAAGTTAAAGGTAAAGGTACCCCTGCCCGTACGGGCCAGTCGTGACCGACTCTGGGGTTGCGCGCCCATCTTGCTTAAGAGGCCGGGATCCAGCGCTGTCCGGAGACACTTCCGGGTCACGTGGCCAGCGTGACGAAGCTGCTCTGGCGAGCCAGCACCAGCGCAGCACACGGAAACACCGTTTACCTCCCCGCTATAAAGCGGTACCTATTTATCTACTTGCACTTTGACATGCTTTCAAACTGCTAGGTGGGCAGGAGCAGGGACCCAACGACGGGAGCTCACCCCGCTGCGGAGATTCAAACCGCCGACCATACGATCGGCAAGTCCTAGGCACTGAGGTTTTACCCACAGTGCCACCCGCGTCCCCAACAATAATAACAACAACAATAAATTAATTACTTATACCCCGCCCATCTGGGCGGTCCTCCCCAGCCACTCTTGGCAACTTCCAAAAGAATATTAAAAGCACAATAAAAGATCAAACATTAAAAACTTCTGTAAACAGGGCTGCCTTCAGATGTCTTGTAAAAGTCAGATAGTTGTTTATTTCCTTGACATCTGATGGGAGGGCATTCCACAGGGCAGGTGCCACTACCGAGAAGGCCCTCTGCCTGGTTCCCTGTAACCTCGCTTCTCGCAGGGAGGGAACCGTCAGAAGGCCCTTGGAGCTGGACCTCAGTGTCCGGGCAGAACGATGGGGGAGGAGACGCTCCTTCAGGTATACTGGGCAGAGGCCGTATAGGGCTTTAAAGGTCAACACCATCACTTTGAAGCCAGCTACTGGAGAAGAAACACATATGCACTTTGTACCTCTTTATTCCCATCACCCACTCTCATTCCAATGCCATCTGATATGCTTCTTCCTGCCCCCGAGTTGCGCTGCTTTCCCCACTACCTCCAGCAAAGCCTTTCTTGAATTACTTTAGCCTCATCCTACCTACAGCAACACTGCCACCCCACACCTTGTGTTCACTACAGTGGTACCTCGCAAGACGAATGCCTCGCAAGACAAAAAACTCGCTAGACGAAAGGTTTTTCCGTTTTCGATTTGCCTCGCAAGACGAATTTCCCTATGGGCTTGCTTCGCAAGATGAAAACGTCTCGCGACTTTGTTTCCTTTGTCTAAAAACCGTTAAAACCAAGGGTGCTTAGCTTGAACAGCTGCAGTTGCGACTTGACTTCGAGGAGCAACTGTTAGCACGTGGTTTGGTAGCCTTTTCTCAGACTTTGCTCACTTTTGAAGCTTTTCCAAAACTTCCAGAACTTCTCTTGCATCCATTTGGTAAGTTAAACTTTTAAAACTTTTTGGGGGGTTTTGGATTTTGGGTTGGGGTGTTTGGGATTCAAGGACTTGGTGTTGTGGGGGGGTTTGCGATAATCTGGGAGCTTGTGGGCCTTTTTTGGGAATTTTTATGATTTTCTGTGACCATTGGGCAAGGTTGTTTTTTTTTCCAAATTTTTTTGTTGATTTTTAAATGTTTTTCTGTCATGTTTATAAAGTTAATTTATTTTCCCTTCAATTTTTGAACTGCTCTTTACAGTATGTGTGACTTTAAAGAGCAGTTAATAAACTGTTGTTGTACCAAATTTGGCTTTGTTTGGACTTTTTTTGACCATAGGAACACATTAATTGATTTTCAATGCATTCCTATGGGATTTCGTGATTCGCAAGACGAAAAATTCGCTAGACGACAAAACTTGCGGAACGAATTAATTTCGTCTTGCGGGGCACCACTGTACTTGTTCTCCAGCAATCTGGGCCAGGGTTGTATTTAGGGCTGGGTGATATATCAATACATCGCGTATATGTGTGTGTGTGTATGTATGCGTGCTATGCAAAAACCACGATGTGGGAAGAAACGTGAAGCCAGCCAATGTCTCTACATATCTCCATCCTTATTACAGACATCATGATATACAGTGATACCTTGGTTCTCAAACGCCTTGGTACTCAAACAACTTGGAACCCAAACACTGCAAACCCAGAAGTAAGTGTTGCGGTTTGCGAACTTTTTTTGGAGGTCGAATGTGTTCCGTTTTGAGTGTTATGCTTCCGATTTGAGTGCCACACTTCTGTTTTGAGTGCTACGCTGGGGTCTGTCTGTTTTTGCTATTTATTTTGCGTTTTTGTTTAGGCAGCTCTTTTTGTTTTGTTTTTGTGACTGTGTGGAACCCAGTTCAGCTACTGATTGATTGCGTGTGTGACTGCAGTACATTGTTTACTGCTTTCATTTTATCTCCTTAGATAGTAAAATTCATGTTGAATTGCTGTTCTAGGGGTTGTTATTAAAAGTCTGGAACGGATCAATCCGTTTTGCATTACTTTCTATGGGAAAGTGCGCCTTGGTTTTGGAACGCTTTGGTTTTGGAATGGACTTCTGGAACGGATTAAGTTTGAGAACCAAGGTACCACTGTATCAGTACACAACGTTTACCTGGTGATATATCATGATGTTGAAAACCAGATACCGCCCAGCCCTAGTAGTATTTTGTTTCTACGCAGAAATTATATGTCCAGTTAATGTTAAAAAAAACCCCACAACCCCAAACAGCAGCCACAACTACTGTTGCTAGACCTCAGCCTTATTTGCCACTGTGACGAGAGCACAGATAACACATACCAAGTGGGTCCTGAGCTACCATTAGATCACCACTGGCCTAACTTACATTGTAAAGCTGCTTGTCATTTTGCAGTGAATAGAACTGCAGGTGGCCTGGTTTGCCGTTCAGAACCAAAGCTTTAGTTCGAGGGTCAACCATCAAGCCAGCCTTGACGTCACTGCCTGAAAGGAAACAGATGGTTTGAGCTGGAATGCAGTTTCTTTGGAGAAAAGGAGATACACAGGTATATAAATAAGCTCTCTGAAGCAAACATACCTCTGCTCAATCCTTGAATGACTGTGGAGACCTTCAAGTTGCTGTGTATGATGATTATTTCTACAGGAGTTTTAAAAGAAAGTTAATAAGGTTAAGAATGAAAGCTGGCAGAGCATTAGAAGGCCTATTGTTTACCAATTGATGATTCAGAATCTGCATCAGCCCATAGAACAGGAGTGGGGAACTTGTCATGCAACAGCATCTAGAGGGCTGCAGATGACCTTCCCTGGGCATAAAACGTTTTATTCAGAAAAAAATGGTGCACTTCAAATGGCCAGTTATGGCTTGCAGCTCAGGGACGTTATTGAATGCAGAACTTCACTTGGTATGGCCAAGACTGATGTGGTGGTCAACAGCACATATGGTCAGCGTTAGTTAGATTTGCCCGTTGATATTCCTTCCTTAAAAAGCAGAGACATCACCTTGCCGACAAAGGTCCATATAGTTAAAGCTATGGCTTTCCCTGTAGTGATGTATGGAAGTGAGAGCTGGAACATAAAGAAGGCTGATCGCCCAAGAATTGATGCTTTTGAATTATGGTGTTGGAGGAGACTCTTGAGAGTCCCATGGACTGCAAGAAGATCAAACCTATCCATTCTGAAGGAAATCAGCCCGGAGTGTTCACAGGAAGGACAGATCGTGAAGCTGAGGCTCCAATACTTTGGCCACCTCATGAGAAGAGAAGACTCCCTGGAAAAGACCCTGATGTTGGGAAAGACTGAGGGCACAAGGAGAAGGGGATGACAGAGGACGAGATGGTTGGATAGCGTTCTTGAAGCTACTAACATGAGTTTGACCAAACTGTGGGAGGCAGTGGAAGACAGGAGTGCCTGGTGTGCTCTGGTCCATGGGGTCACAAAGAGTCAGACACGGCTAAACAACAACATCCCTTCCTTGAAAGGAGGGACTTTAAAATGTTTGAACATGCCCTAGTAACTAATGGGCAAGGGGCTGAGGCAGATTGGAAATCACAGTTACTTCAGAATGAGCCTGGTATGAGATACAAGGAGCATGCCACACCCACCCTAGATTTGCTTCCCTGGCTGCTGTGCTAAATCAAAAGTTCTGGTGCTTATCTTGTAAGCCTGTTAATCAGTTTCGCTAGGGAACAGAGAACTCTTTCTCCCATGAGTACTTCCCCAATCTTTTCAGACGGGCTGAAAAGGCTCCATTAACTATTAGGGCTGGGAGTCATTCTCGAACAAGCTTCTTCAGCAGTGGCCCCCAAGCTCTGGAACTACTTTCCAGTTGGGAGAGCACCACAGCCTCGCCATTAGAAACATTGTTCATTCATATGTACAGCTGCTTAAGGGTCTTTTAAACCAGTACCAACCCCGGGCATACAACTGGCACTGAAAGAAAGCCAATTCATCGTTGGGTTTGGACTTAATTGAGGCAGGAAGATCCTCATGGAGCGACAGGGGATAAAAATATAAATCCAGAGACAGCAACCCTTCCCCTCCCCACAAGCCCTATAGAATTAACAGAGAGATGCCAATCACAAAGCAGGGAGGGAAAGGGCCAGAGGGTGGGGTGGCTTCAGATGCTGTTGAACTACAACTCCCATCATTCCTGACCGCTCGGGCTGATGGGAGTTGGTAGTCCTACAGTACCTAGAGCAGTGTTTCCCAACCTTTTTTGGGCAAAGGCACACTTGTTTCATGAAAAAAATCTCGAGGCACACCACCATGCCAGATGGGGAAAGGTCACTTTTTACTTATGTAAAAAAAAAAAAAAAAAATAGTAACAGCATAGAAGGTAATGGTTAGGCTAGCATCCCTCTTCCAAATATGCTAGGTTTTTATTTGCAGGGACTGTTCTACATGGGAAAGCATTCAGCACTGTCATTCTCCCATCTGCCATCTGAATTGGTACTATTCTGGGTCAACTTACTCTGCTGCATGTGTAGATGAAAATGGCACCAAGTGTGGGGGAGGGGGCAGAACAGGTTTCAGATACAGGATATTAAGCATACACGTACTTCAGATTGAACTGGTTGCTTGCTTTGCAAGTTTTCATTTCCCAAATGACTGCCTTGGCAAGCGCAATACCTACCAGGCTCAACGCCGGTCTCGCGCTGCCGCTTCCCGCGCTCTCAAGGACCCGGGAGGAGGAAGGCGTGAAGGGAATCCCGAAGGCGCGAAAACCTCGCGCATGCGCAGGCCTTCCGCCTGCGACAGCCCAGTAGGCCGGCCGAAGCGAGCGGCGATGGGATGTGGGAGGGAGCTCGCTCGCCGCCCCGCGTGTGCCTATGTGGGGCACGTTACAGCCCCGTGACGTCAGCGCCCCGCAGGCAGCCAGGCAGGCAGACGGCGAGAGCCCCGCACTGGGCGGCCTCTCCTCGCCGCCGCCGCCCCGCCTCTCGCCGCCCGCCTCCCTCCAGGCAACATCTCGCGGCACACCAGGCAACGTCTCGCGGCACACTAGTGTGCCGCGGAACACCGGTTGGGAAACACTGACCTAGAGGGCTATTGCCGGTTTCCAATCCATGGCTCAGGTGCTCACGGAAATTTGAAGCTGGAGGTGCTTGGATATAAATGACTGATTTAAGGAGGTTATCACCTTTCAAAACCCAAACAGCCACGGTTGTTTGACATTATAAAGAGGTAGGTTTCTCTCCCCCATTTGGACTTACTGTTATCTGCATGCGAGGTACAAAGGAAGGCTCCATCTGGAGAGACGGAGATGTGCTCTATTGTGGATCCCAACCGGGGCAAGAATTCCTTCTTCGCATCCGACCCATCTCGCCACTGCACTAGGACAGACTCGATTCCACCACTCAGGAGGCTAGTTCCTATCAAACCGAACAAAATGTGTGTGCCTTAGAAATGTAGCAATTTACACACACACACACACACACACACACACACACACACACAGCATACTGCTCAGTGCAACTGGAGCAATGTGACTTGCACAGATCTGGTTACTCTCCATGGATATTAGTCTCAGAGGGCATCATTACCTGTTGCCATATACATTAATCTAGGACAGGGGTGCACAATCTTCGGCCCTCCAGATGTTCCTGGACTACAACTCCCATCAGCCCCAAACAGCATAGCCAGTGATCGAGGATGGTGGGAGGTGTAGTCCAACAACATCTGGAAGGTCACAGGTTGTGCAACCCTGATCTAGGTTTAGATGCTGAAAAGGACCAAGGCTGCAGTTCTATACACGTATACCTAGGATTAAGGCTCAGTGAACCCAATGGGATTTACTTCCCAGTAGATAGGCCTGCACTGAGTTTGGTGCACAATTGCCATATGGACACAAATGCAAGTGTAATAAATAAATATACGCACATGTGGACACAGACTGCGTGGGCTCTTGTGTGCCTGACTATAAGGACTGAAAAAACCCAGCAACAAGAAGATCAGGAGCAACTGAATTGTGTTTATGAAGCAAATAGTTATGTTGCAACACAACAAAATCCTCCCACTGGCCATGTCAAACTGCTTCCTGTTTCGGAGAGAAGCCAAGAATAAAATAAACACTGCGGTGGGTCACTTCAAGTTCCCGCTGAGGTCAACAAGATTTTATCTCCACAGCTTTCAACATAGAAAAACCATTTTTATTTAGTTCCATTTTGCGAGAGGATTAAATTCCTACTTCCTCTGCTTGTTGAAGAACCGAAACAGTTTACTTCTGCCTGTCAACTCAAAGGGAGTGGGACGAAGCAGGTTCACATTAAAACTGCTTTTAATGTCACTTTTATGCAGGGGTAGCCAACCCTGTGCTCACAATATGACTACAACTCTAATCATCCCCAAAAACTGGCCACGGTGGCTGAAGCTGAAGGCACCAGATTAGTTATCTCTGTCTTTACGCAACACACAGACAACTCTGTTGCTTTTGCCACAGTCCCATCTCTAAACTTCCACACTTTTGCAAGATGCATCGAGGAGATCTAACTCTTTTGCTTTGACACTGCTGTGCATTTATATAACATATTTCAAATATCAAGAGCAGTTCACAAGCGTTTTCTGAAGAGAATGTTGGGAATCTGTTGAGAAATTCTCTTAATTGCGTCATATTCAAAAGGATCTCAAAGCCACATACAGACAACAGAAATCAAATACAAGAGAGTAGAATTTCAGAACTATCATATTGCAGATGGGTGAATTTGCATGGGGAGAGATTGCTAGAAAAGTGACTTGCTCAAGGCCACTGGTGAGCTGATGGGAGAGGTGAGAGAATTGAAACAGCAAATGTTCCTAGCTTGGGTAACGTTACCTTCAACAGTGAAAGCGAGATCCATAACTTCACCATGGTGCCAGTGCATTGTGGAGTACGTGTAGTCTTTCTTGTGATTAAAATTTCTCCTAGTGCGGGGGAAAAAAACCATTCAATTTAGGACTGCTCACCAGAGAGGAAAATGCAAGCCTAAAGGTGATGGCGCATTCAAAGCCCAAATAAAATGTGGTCCACCTGCATTGCAGTCCTTTCTAGCAGGATGTACATCCCAAGGTGTATTCCAATACACATGGTGCATCCATCCTCTCGCTCGGTTACTTACAACTAAAACTGGATTAACTAAAACATCCTGAAGGTCCCAGGCCACAGAGAGGCTAGGCTGGCCTCAACTAGAGCCAGGGCTTTGTCGGCTGTGGCTCCAATCTGGTGGAACGCTCTGTCACAAGAGACTAGGGCCCTGCGAGACTTGACATCTTTCTGCAGGGTCTGCAAGACAGAGCTGTTCCACCAGGCCTTTGGTCAGGGCACAGTCTTTGGTCAGGGCAATCTTCACAGAATTTTGGCCCAATGGTTGCCATCAATTTGATTTGAATTACTTTTATAATGAAATTATTTTAGAATGTTGTACTATTTTATTGTTGTTAGCCGCCCTGAGCCCGGCTTCGGCTGGGGAGGGCGGGATATAAATAAAATTTATTATTATTATTATTATTATGGCCAGAAGCCTCAATACCAGGTCTTTTACCAATAACCATGGGAATGGTCTGTAGGCAGATGGTGCAGCCCTACTACTGCAACTAAGCAGGTTTGGTCAAGTCAAGAGCCCCGGGAACCATATGTAAGCTACTCTTGAGTTCTTTGGAAGAAGACTGGACTATACATGTAACAAATAAATAGCCCTTGCTCACTTATAGATATGCACTCTTGCCACTATTCAAGTATGAAGTTTTAGAGTAAATATTTCCAACAACTATTAAATTGTACAGCAGGCCTCTTCTCCTTTGCCTCCAGCTGCCCCAAGTATATCTTTACCACTCCATAATCAACACCTTCTAAGACAGAAGCTTTCTCTGCTGGAATCAGAGGTGCATTTTATCGCAAGCTTTGGCAGGGAGGAGAGGCCAAAACTGTGCCTTTGCACTGCAGACTTGCACTGCAAGATTACAGCAAGGAAGGATATGCATGCTTATCAGAAAACCACTGCCAATAGCAGCAAACGTTTGTCTCACCACAGCCGGATTTTGCCATCGCTGTGTCCGCTTGCTATGCAATCTTCCTTTGGGTGGCAGGCTACGCAGGTGAAGAAGTCGCTTATTCTGGATTTCCCATCTACAGAAAAGCTTCAAAAACAGGAGTCATGGCTTTAAGTTAGTTTGGCTGGACTGAGCTGAAAGAAATGTCAACTAATCCCCGGCTGCTCAACAGTGCAAGGAAGGTGGATGGGGAATACCTTTCCATTTCTGGGATGTACTAGCAACCATCGCATAAATCTCTCCCCCCCCCCCCCCCGGTTTTCTGCTGCAGTAATATCTGCCACCAGGAACATGCAAGAGCACATGCTCTTTCTGTATAACTTCAGCCGTTTTCCTTTCCATTGTGCTCACTCTGGCAAAGTAAAGGTAAAGGACCCCTGGACGGTCAAAGGAAACTATGGGGTTGTGGTGCTCATCTCACTTTTCAGGCCAGGGGAGCCAGCATTTTCCACAGACAGCTTTCTGGGTCATGGGGCCAGCAGGACTAAACTGCTTCTGGCACAACGGGACACTGTGACGGAAGCCAGAGCGCACGGAAACACTGTTCACCTTCCCACTGCAGTGGTACCTTATTTATCTACTTGCACTGGCATGCTTTCGAACTGCTAGGTTGATGATCTCCGGCAGGCTAGGGACAAAGGTGAGAGCTGTTTCCTGGTTCTGCTGGATCTCTAAGCGGCTTTTGTTACAATTGACCATAACATTCTTCTGGACTGTCTAGAGGAGCTGGGAGTACTGATACACAGTGGTTCCGCTCCTTCCTCTTGGGCCAAGTCCAGAAAGTGGTGGTGGGGGATGAGTGTTTAGACCCCTGGACCCTTACTTGTGGCGTGTCTCAGGGTTCCGTCCTCTCCCCCATGCTTTTTAACATCTACATGAAGCTGCTGGGAGAGATCATCAGGGGGTTTGGACTGGGTATCCATCAATATGCAGATACCCAGCTCTACCTCTCTTTTAAATCAGAACCAGTGAAGGTCCTGTGTGAGTGCCTGAAGGAAGTTGGAGGATGGATGGCAGCTAATGGATTGAGGGTGAATCCTGACAAGACAGAAGTATTGTTCTTGGGGGACAGGGGGCAGGCTAGTGTGGAGGACTCCTTAGTCCTGAATGGGGAACCTGTGCCCCTGAAGGACCAGATGCGCAGCCTGGGAGTCATTTTGGACTCACAGCTGTCCATGGAGGAGCAGATCAATTCTGTATTCAGGGCAGCTGTCTACCAGCTCCATCTGGTACGCAGGCTGAGACCCTACCTGCCCGCAGGCTGTCTCACCAGAGTGGTGCATGCTCTAGTTATCTCCCGCTTGGACTACTGCAATGCCCTCTACGTGGGGCTACCTTTGAAGGTGACCCAGAAACTACAATTAATCCAGAATGCGGCAGCTAGACTGGTGACGGCTGCCGAGACCATATAACACCGGTCCTGAAAGATCTACATTGGCTCCCAGTACGTTTTTGAGCACAATTCAGAGTGTTGGTGTTGACCTTTAAAGCCCTAAACAGCCTCGGCCCAGTATACCTGAAGGAGCGTCTCCTCCCCCATCGTTCTGCCCGGACACTTGAGGTCTAGCACCGAGGGCCTTCTGGCAGTTCCCTCACTGCGAGAAGCAAAGCTACAGTGAACCAGGCAGAGGGCCTTCTCGGTAGTGGCGCCCGCCCTGTGGAATGCCCTCCCATCAGATGTCAAAGAGATAAACAACTACCTGACATTTAGAAGACATCTGAAGGCAGCCTTGTTTAGGGAAGTTTTTAATGTGTGACATTTTAATGTATTTTTAAACTTTGTTGGAAGCCACCCAGAGTGGCTGGGGAAACCCAGCCAGATGGGCGGGGTACAAATAATAAATTGTTATTATTATTACTAGGTTGGCAGGAGCTGGGACAGAGCAACAGGAGCTCACTCCATCATGGGGATTCGAACCGATGACCTTTTGATCAGCAAGCCAAAGAGGCTCAGTGGTTTAGACAACAGCACCACCTGCGTTCCTACAAGATACAGGCTGTAGCTCAGCAGGACAGCACATACTCTGTATGCAGAAAGCTCCAAGATCTCCAGCTAGGGCCGGGAAAGAATCTGGTCTGGACGTATGAAATGATTATATAGAAGGCAGCTTCTATTGCTCCTCCAAGCCTTATCCTATGGGATTTACAATACTATCACTGGTTCATTTTGTTGTTGTTGGCATTCATTTGTCTCAAGAGACAATGGAGTGCGCCGGGTGTGTGCATGTGAAGTCAAACCTGGGTAGTGTGTATGGAGATCCTGGACAGCCCAGACGACAAGACCCTCCCCCCCAGCCTTGCTGTGGTCCAAAGGAAAGCAGAGCAATATGTTTGGCACCAGTTCGGCTGCAGGAGATGCCAGAAGGAGGCACACAAGGTACCATCCACTTAGGAAATTCCACTCCGGATTTGTGTAGGGTTTAATCCTTAGCAGATAAAAGGAGCGGGGGGCACTGTTGTCTAAACCACTGAACCTCTTAGGCTTGCCGATCAGAAGGTTGGCAGTTTGAGTCTGCACGACAGGGTGAGCTCCTGTTGCTTTCCCAGCCTAGCAGTTCGAAAGCATACCGGTGCAAGTAGATAAATAGGTACCACTGCAGCGGGAAGATAAATGGCGTTTCCTTGCACTCTGGTGCTCGTCCCGCTGTCCTGTTGCACCAGAAGCGGTTTACCTTCACCTTTTCCTCCTTAGCCTTTCCTTCTCCAAAGATATTAATAGCTGGGAGATATCCAGCTAATTCATATTCAGAATAAATTCCCTAAAGTCAATAGAATTAAACACATTGATTCAATTGGTCTACTCCAACTACAGTTTGGATATCACCATCTGGGTTTTTCTTTTCTTTTCTTCATTAATAAGCATAAGTGTTATCAGGGCTATGGACACTTCTGTAAGAAACAGCAAATTCCTGGCCAGTTCAGAAGCAACAGATGCATATTCAAAGCAGCAAAGCAATTACTAGCTGGAGTTGTCTGCCCTCACCTGTAAAGCTTCTTCTTCCTGAAGAAACAGACGACGAGGTGACTGCCGTAAGCAGATACCACATATTCACCCTGTTATAAACAAAATATAGTTTAGTACATACCAGAGTCCAAGTGGATTAAAATGTATGATTAAAAAAAATTAAAAATTAGAACATGTGATGGGCAAACTGCAAGAGACAGACAACTGCTATGCAAGTCAGCTAAAGCAGCACAATGATATATCTGCAATCAGTGCTTTTCCCCTTCTAAATCAAATTCAGACATTTCCTCCATGGCTTTTACTCAGAGTGATCTAAAGAGAAATGATGGCTAATTCAGGTGCGCTGAGATCTGGAGTTTAAAGAAACATAGCAAAGATGCTGAACACGGGTGAAGTCAGCCTAGCAGCCTAGCTGCTGGCGGCAAACCACAAGGTTGAAGCTCCTTTGGCTCCACAGAACTGACCATGTGGTTCTTGGTATCCTAAAATAGGAGTGCGCCCAAAGCAGTTTTGGAATTGCGTTTTACAAAAACATGCCATATACCCCACTGCCTTTTGTTAACCTGTTTTTGGAACAGGGAAGTGTTTCCAAAACAGCCTGAAAAGCAGACCTCATATAAAAGTGATAAATTCTTTTGAGAACACAACAGGTAACAGATAAAAAGGTAGCTCTTTGGATACCCCCTTAAGGCAGAGAGAAATACGGGTATTTTGTGTCACAAATAAGGAAGTTTTAGAGAGGAATTTCTTCCCAACTGTACAGAATATGACAGTTACAGCAGAACACCTACGCTATAATGCGGTAAAGGATTTTATGGTGGCTAGAAAGCCGCCCTGGCAACGATTGACTAATCTGTCCACATGTCATGGAAAAGCAGAGAAAGCGGAAGGGCCTCTGCATTGGATTGGCTAAATTTCTGAGATTTTACAGTGGGCAGCCAAGGCAAAGAGGCTAGGAATGCAACGAGTAAGGCTGTGGTTGGAGAACAGGCTAAGAAGAGGGTGCATGCTCTAAGAGCTGAGGAAGTAAAGAAGGATGATTTGACACCAAGTTTGTGCATGCAGACCTCTAATATGATGAAAGAAAGAAAGAAAGAAAGAAAGAAAGAAAGAAAGAAAGAAAGAAAGAAAGAAAAGGTATATACTTCTCTTCCAAGCGCTGTACATTTGGGTGACTGGCTTACACCATCCAAAATCAATTCCAGCTCATTGGCTTCTACTTCCTGACCTGGTGTTTTGGGGATTTTCAGTGAAGCTAGCTGAAATGGACCTGATGGAAACAAAATTTATTTCAGTTTTAAACCAATTATTCTCATATAGATGAAATAATAATATTTTTTTAATCACATCTAACTTTTATCTCATTCATTAGCATGAGTGCAATTAGGCTACAGTGGACGCTCGGGTTGCGAACGTGATCTGTGCGGGAGGCACATTCGCAACCCGCAGCGCCGTGCCTGCACACGCGCGGGTTGCGATTTAGTGCTTCTGTGCCGAAACCCAGAAGTAATCCGTTCCGGTACTTCCGGGTTCAGCAACCCGAAGCGTCTGTAACCGAGGTATGACTGTAATTTGATGTATGGCCTTTATTTATCATATTTGCACCAGGTTGTCGTCCCCAGAACTCAAAGCGACATCAACAATGCTGCCTCATTTTATTCTCCTAACAAGCCTGCACAGAGACTAAGTGTACTGTGAATTATAGCAGCATTTGTGGTTCAGTGGCATAATTCTTGCCTGCCACGTGGGAGGCCTAGATTTGATTCTTAGCCAATGCAGCAACATGCCTTATGAAACTCTGGGATAGCTCAGTCGGTAGATCATGAGACTCTGAATCTCAGGGTAGTGGGTTCAAACCCCACATTGGGCAAAAGATTCCTGCATTGTAGAGGGTTGGACAAGATGACCAACTCCTTCCAACTCTACAATTCTATGGTTAAATAATATTTCCCCCCACAATGCTCGGCAGAAATTAACATGCACTATGCAAACTTTTATAGTTAAAGACAAAATTATGGCAATGTATATCTCCCCAACAGGGACGCGGGTGGCGCTGTGGGTAAAAGCCTCAGCGCCTAGGGCTTGCCGATCGAAAGGTCGGCGGTTCGAATCCCCGCGGCGGGGTGCGCTCCCGTTGTTCGGTCCCAGCGCCTGCCAACCTAGCAGTTCGAAAGCACCTCTAAGTGCAAGTAGATAAATAGGTATCGCTTTATAGCGGGAAGGTAAACGGCGTTTCCATGTGCGGCTCTGGCTTGCCAGAGCAGCGATGTCACGCTGGCCACGTGACCCGGAAGTGTCTCCGGACAGCGCTGGCCCCCGGCCTCTTGAGTGAGATGGGCGCACAACCCTAGAGTCTGTCAAGACTGGCCTGTACGGGCAGGGGTACCTTTACCTTTATATCTCCCCAACATGATGCCCTCCAGCAGGTTGGCAAAAGCTGATGAGCACAGTGTTTCATTTTAAGCATGACTACCACACTAAGATGAGGAGCATTAAATGCATTGGGGCCAGCCATTCCTACCTTTAGTTCTTTTAATCTGCGGTTCATCGATCCTCTAAATAAAATACCTGTTTGTGATACAGCAGCTTATACTAAAACACCTAAAGCATTCTTCCCGTGCTGGGAAGTGAACTGGAATAAATCTGTAATCCCACTAATTCGGGGGTGGGGGTGGGATTTGCACTCATGGTAACAGTGCACCTTGTCCCCTATTCACAAAGCTGTTGCATGCAGTTATGTTAACAGATTCTGGGCTGTGTAGTCCCAGCCCACTTATTCTGCACTGATTAGGCTTTCCTGTGTCAGCATACCAGAGATAGTGCTGATAGAGCAGTCACTGGATATCACCCTAACCATAAATGCTTACCAGCCCGAAAAAGCAGTTCACGGGACAGGGCTTCAAGTTCTGAGCAGCATATATGACATCTATGCCTCCACGCTCCATAAATGTCCAAATCCAAAACAACATAGTGTTTTAAGAAGTCTGCTTAGCATCTTTTTCACAAATTAAGAAACCTATTTCTACTCCTCTGCTGTCCTACAGCACAGGGCGGTCCAACTTTTCATACCAAGTGAGCTGCAGGAGTGCTGCCACACACTGAACTAAATTTCCATATTGTAAATTGAAGTGTTCGCAATACATTTAATATTATTTAATATACACAATATATGTAATTAAATATATTTAATTAATATATGTAATTAAATACATTTAATTAAACACACAATTAATAGATCTAATTACTACACAAATTTAATACGCAAACAGATGTGTGTGCTTTTGTTAGCAAAATATGACACACTTTTTTAAAAAGGTTTTAAGATGTTATCTCTTGATTGTTGCTGATGACTGCCATTAAAGGCAGACCACCCTGCTATATCAGGAGCATTCAAAACAAACAGGGGACCAGTTTCAGCATTCTCTGCCAGCCTAAGGGGTGTTGTGCTAATGTAAGGGCGAGAATTATAAAATACAGCGCAACCATTGTGCTAGCGGAAGCCTGTTGTGCAACAGGTATTGGAGCTGCAACCAGACATTAGAACCATGCTGGCTTCCTATGCCTTCTCTTGCGCAAACCATTCCACTACCACAGCTGGTATACTATTAGGGGACTTTAACTTAGTGATACATAAATTTCCTCTCTGGGAATTTATTCCTTATAGGGATTCTACCCCATCCCCCATCACATACAAAATTCTATTTTAGGTATACTTTTATGTTCAGCATTGAACTCACGTATGTGGAGTTTGTTTGTATTTTATTTTGTTCACTTTTGATATGGTCTATACTAATAGTCTATAATAAATAACCAATCCCTAAGATGTGACGAAGCTCCTATGTACCCCACAGCAACAAAAGGGGAAAACAATTTATTTATCCTGCCTTTCTACTTAACAATAAAACCCGCAAAAAGGCTCACAGTCCTCATGTTAACAACAATCATAAAAAACAAGATGTACAAAATTATAAGAGCACCAATTATGACATACCTGATCTTTCATCATTATCTTTTGAGATGATAACAAATACCGAATTCTCAGATCCCGCAAGTGCATAGAATGCAAAGAGTTTGAACCCAACCACCAAGGTCTGTAAGAGAAAACACACACATACACAAAATCAATCTCTTAAGTCTCATCTAAAAACTAAGCTGAAAAGCAAGTTTATACAACCCTGCTAGTTAGAAGGTGCGGAACGGGTTTTTAATTAGGCACAATTATCAATAAAGTTGTGCATACCATTCAGGGATGGAGAACCTGTGGCACTCCACATGTTTTTGGACCACAGCTCCCATCAGTCCCTGTCAGCAAGGGATGATGGAAGTTGTAGTCCAACATCATCCTGATGACCAAAGGTTTCCCATCTCTTATGCAGCTCATCTCAGTCATGAATCATCAACAGAAAACACTGTCCATTCTAAGCCTTCGTGGATAAGAAGATAAGAGATCCTGCTTATTAGTCTTTGAAGCTAGACACTCGTATGCTGAAAAGAGCCCATTCGCCCCCCTACTCCATTGCAATGCATTTACACTGCAATCCTATACACACTTGGCTGGGAATAAGTCCTGCTCAACTTAACAGTCTTAGTTTTGAGTAGCTATATTGAGGATTCCACTGTAGATGCCGTTAGTGATGACTCGTATCAACCAAGATGCCACAGTGCAGTTTGCATAGCAGTGGCAAAGCCTATCCAGGTCTGCAAACAGAGCATTTACTCACGAATCACAGAGATTTGTTTTATTCACTCCAATGCAAACCATTTCATTAATCTAATGAGAAGCCCATGGGCTGCTATGGAGAAAGAAGAGGTGCAAAGAAAACATAACAAACCTTGATGAGAATGCCATCCATAAAATCCCAGAGTTTAATAGTGCCATCTAGAGACCAGGAATAGAGCTGGTGGAGAAAAAAAAGACATATTAAAATGATTTGTAAGGTCCTATTCTGGTTTATCTACAAAGCATTTTGATTCTTAGCAGTGCTGATTACTCCCTGTGTATGACAAAAATGCTAACAAAATGTGAAGTGGTTCTAACACCTTTGAAAATTACTACTTATTTAATTAAAACTGCACATACCATGTTCTCTGCTGAAGATATAACACACAAACACATTTACGAGAAAAACAGCCCAGAGATGGGATGATAATCAAAATCAACTATGATGCAGACAAAACGATTGCGACTTAAGTCCAAATAAGTATGTCCTAGCGCCGACCGCTCTTAAAAGGGAAGAAATGTATTCCATGAGAAACCAAAATACCAGCAGAGATGTAGCTAGTCACATCACTGAGCAGAATGTTCCACTAGTTGTGTCTGTCACGTAAGGGAGATGCAGCTTTGAGTCCTTTCAAATTCTTATGTCCATAAAGGACATAAGGACATATGAAGCAGCATCTCCATTATAGATCTGCACATGAGGATGAGAGAAAATGTTATCTAAGCTATGCAGACCTCAGCCCAGGCAGGGTTTTATAGGTTTTCCACCAGCATTTTCAACTGGGCCAGGAAGTGATAAGAAACTATTGCAGAATAGGTATAATTTGCTCCATTTGAGCTATACTCATACCTGGCCATAATCATGGATTTGGCCTGGGATTACAACAACAACATATCACAACAACAGCAGCAACAATATATCAAATTTCTATGCTGCCCTTCATTCAAAGATTATAGGGCAGGGCACCGTTAAGCACCAGCAAAATTACCTAGGATATTTATCTCAGTTTCCCCTTGAGTGCCAATGTGAGTGTTGGTGCCCTGATGTTGATTAAAACCCTGGCGTATGTGGGGAGGGAACTTAAATCCTTTGCCCTCTGCTATGGTCCCTATGTGGTTCTGAAATTTTGCAGTGAAAAAAGAGGCGGGGGAAAGTTTGCACTTAATGACAATTATGTTATATATGCTGCTTGTAGTTTAGCTCTAAGATAGGACTAGCATTGCCAAAATTTAACAACCTGTAGATGGTTTTGGGGATTCAACTGGACTCCTGTCACTATGTTGCTGTGACCTTGGAGAACATGCAGACATTCTTCTGTAGCTGTACTGTAGACTTTCACATAGTCACCAGAAGCACACAAAAGGTACCTATAAGCAATGAAATCAAAGGCAGAAATCAATTAAAAGGGATTTATAGTACTTGACAGAAACAACATAGGCTAACTTGGAAAATTCTAGAAGCATATTAGATAATATTTATCCATTTTCACATCCAACATTACATGCAAAAGACCAATTCCCAACCGCCAAAGTTACAGGAAAACCAGACTATTTTTCAGTATGGTCCAGTTCATATCTAATGCATACAATACCAAACCATGAATGTGCAGATATGCAAGTATTTTACTCCTCTTCCAGTTCTCCTACTGCCATGCTATCTGGAGCTAATTTTGGGTGGGAGTTAGCAACTTAAGTCATCATGGGCCCATAGCTTGTCACCTCCAGACAAACCGTACATGGTAAGCAGAACAAACCTTGGCTAAACCAAACCAAAGCTGAGTTTGGTGCAGAGCAGGACAACTGGGGGAAAGGACCGATGTGGCCATGATTCCTGCAATCGCATTTTAACCATTGGTTTATCTTAATGATACACGTGAACCAGGTCATGTAGTATTTAAATGCCACGTGTAATGACATTTAAATACTATATTAAACACAAGCTGCCATGCGTGCCTAACATGGAGACAGAAAAGTGAAATATAACTGTTTAAAAATTATATAAATATTTCGGTATTTTGTTTCTCCAAATGATAGCAATAGACCAAAACATGCTTTTTAAATATATTGGCATTAATATACACAGTGCTTAGAGTAGCATAAAAAGAGTTTACAGCTCAAAATTTTGATTGGGACAGGGATGAAACATGTTGACAAGAGGAGGGAATGGAAGCAAAAGTTAACTGGAGAATGAATTGTGTTGCATTTATTACCATGTGGTTTAAACACATTTTTGTCATAGTTCCAGGAACTCTAAGGACTATTAAAAAGGCCAGTTTATCAGAAGCCTCTTTTACTCTGGATTGTTTGTACCACATAATATATGCACTTTTCAAAACTCTAAGGGGGAAAGGTATGGGCTCAGTGGTAGAGCAGAAGGCCTGGGTATAAGACAATTTCTTATGCTGATCTAGTGTAACACTCCTCTCCTCATTCATTACTTTCACTGTTATAAAGATCTTAAAAGCTTGCTGATACTGGGGCACAAATCCCCATGAAGAAAAATTCACTGTTTTAACAGAACATACCTCCTATCCCTACATTTAATTGGCAGAATCAGCACTACCACAGTTGCCACACAATGCCCGTTCTGCATTTGCAATTATAATTTGATAGTTTAGTGTAGCAGCGCCTGCGCCTTGAAACTCCCTGCCTGTTGAGAGCAAACAGGGGCCTTTGCTGTACTCATTCACTAAAATACCCACTAAAAATATTCTTGTTCAGGTTGACAGCTGGGGTTATCTTAAACCTGCTTTAATGTTTTAACTTTTGTGTATCTTAGAATAGGGCAGTAAATTTTGCTGGGCATTCTTCTCTTTTTTAAATTGTGGTAGTCGTTGTTTGAAACCATATTTTTTAGGAAATTAAAAAGGGAAAAGATTGGAACAAAACCAACCTAAACAGCGCACCTCAGGCTGTGTGCGATCCTACAGCCCACTCGGCCTTATTTAGAAAAACCCACAAAACACGACGGGTGTGTGTGTTATTGGGTTGTTTTTATTTTTGTTATGTATTTTGCGTTTCTATGTTGGTGATTTTATGTTGTAACCGCCCTGCGACTTTCTGGAACAAGGCGGTATACTATTAATTATAGCGATTATATCTTAGTAATTATTATTTAAGGGACCCATGACCATTAGGTCCAGTCGTGACCGACTCTGGGGTTGCGGCGCTCATCTCGCTTTATTGGCTGAGGGATCCGGCGTACAGCTTCCAGGTCATGTGGCCAGCATGACTAAGCTGCTTCTGGCGAACAAGAGCAGCGCACGGAAACGCCGTTTACCTTCCCGCCTGAGCGGTACCTACTTATCTACTTGCACTTTGACGTGCTTTCGAACTGCTAGGTTGGCAGGAGCTGGGAAAGAGCAGCGGGAACTCACCCCATTGCGGGGATTCGAACTGCCAACCTTCTGATCGGCAAGTCCTAGGCTCTGTGGTTTAACCCACAGCGCCACCTGCATCCCAATAGTAATTATTATTACAACAACAATAAAGACAATGAGTCTCACCGTGTGTCTTATAAATAATAAAGTGTCTCAGCGTTTGTCTTAATAATAATGAATAATAATAATAGAGTCTTGGAGGGTGTCTTAATAAAAATAAAAAATAATAGTCTCAGAGCATGTCTTAATAAATAATAATAATAGTCTCAGCGCGCGTCTTAATAAATAATAATAATGTGGAGTCTGAGCGCGTGTCTTAATAATACTAATAATGTGGAGTCTAGACGCGTGTCTTACTCGGGAGTAAATTCAGCCGCGTTCAACGGGGCTGACGCCGCCGCCCCGCGGCTTAAGCGGTTGGCATTCCTGAAAAGCCCCCACTGATCCCCTCAGAGCCACTCACTTCGAATCGGCCGAAAAGACCGCGCGGCTCCCGCTCAGCCAACTGCCGCCGCAGCGAACCACGCGGAGCTGCTCGCGCGCCACCATCTTCCCTCGGCGACCTCCGACCTCTGACCTCCCCCGACCCTCCTCGCTCCTCCGGAAGGAAGAGTAAAAGCTCCGTTGCCGCTCTAGCCCAAACCTTCCCTTAGAACTCAATAGCACCGCCCTCCTCCTCTTTCCGCTCTCCTGTCACGACGTTCCAAGGGGTTAGACCCGTACTTCCGGTTTTCTTGCAATTGAAGCCGATAGAAAACAAAAAAAGGGGACCATAGAGATGGAAAGGAATGGGATAGAAAGAGCTTTCAAAACAGAAACCGGAAGAGTGACGCTCCTCTTTTTCCTAGGCTCTTTGGAATGAAAGTCCGCGTCAGGGTCTGGCAATCGGCTCCCGGCCAGGAAGAACGGGGCATAGAGCTAGAAATGGAAGAGTCGCGCAATCCTTATTTTGCATGAGGCTGAGTTGGGTCTCCATCTCGCTTCCAATGCTATGTGTACAGTACAGGGTTTTCATCATAGATAAATCAGTCGTGGGAAACAACGCAATATAAAGAGTTCACGGTTAAAGGCGACTTTCCTTTAAATACAAAACGTTGAGTTTCATTCATTTTTTTTAAGGGAGGCGGGGCGGCAGCCTCGTGCCATTGCGCGTTTATTCCGCTTGAGTATAAACGGCGTGGTGGCCATTGCGTGATTTTTGTTTTCCTTGGCGCAGGGGGTGTTATGGCAGGTCAAAGCAGGGTATAAAAGATAAAGATAACCCGTTGATGGAAGCAGTTCTGGGGATTAATTATAATGATGAATGAAGAATAATAATTTTGTTATTTGTAGCCCCACCCGTCTGGCTGGGATTAGAATTGGAACCACTCCTTTAGCTAAAACAAAATCATGGTGTGTGTGACTTTTTACACTTATAATCTTCTACACCAGCGCTTCCCAAGCTTGTGTGTTGTGACACCTTAGTGTGTTGGCTGCAGTGTGTAGGTGCATGGCAGGAATGCTCCCTGCGCTCCTTCAGGGGCTGGAAAGGGGCTAGTTTAACCTCTGGTTTGCTATTAAAACTGAATTACTGTGTCACAAAATGATGCAAAACTGAATTACTGTGTCACAAAATGATGCATGTCTAAAAAGTGTCTCCAACATGAAAAGTTTGGAAAGCTCTTCTCTACACAAACGTACGTGTATGTACACACACACACACACACACACACTGTATTTACTCGAATCTACTGCTCACCTTTTTTGGCCAAATAATGTCGCGAAAATTAAGGTGCACATTAGATTCAATGGCACATTTACATTCGCCAGCAAATACTTTTTTTCGTTTCAAGGTTCTGAAAATTGAAGTGCACATTAGACTCGAGTAAATATGATATATAGTCTCTGTTATGTGCTGAAGTTCTCACCCTGGGCCAGCAGAGGGATACTGTAGATAGTTCAGGTCCACATATGCAAATAAGGGATCGAAAGTGACGTTCAGTGATTGGATAGTTACAGAAAGTTGTTACAGTTACGTTGTACTGGAGCTCTATATAAGCAGGCTGGCTGAACCCTTCAGTCCAGTTCTGTTCTGACCTGTGAATAAACAAGAGCTGTTTGGAGAATCGCTGTGTCGTCTGATATGTTCACCCACAACTTAACAGTCTCCATCGTTTGAAGGCAGTATCAGTTTCCTGCTCAAGAGCCTGCTTTGCACCGTGCTGAGAGACCTGACCCTCAAGCTTATTTTAAAAACAAAACGCAGAGCTGTAAGCTTAAATATCATTGATAGGCTTATCTCTGCAGACATTTGCCAACTGAATACCCAGTTGCGGTTGAGCCTCTGGGTAAGGGAAGCAAGAGTTGTATGCACTGGAAAGAGCTAGCCCAGCTCGCCTTGATTAAATAGGAAGAATGATAGAGAATGTGCTCCAAAATGGATTAATTTATTTAAAGGGTACAAAAGGAAAAGTGATCTGCTGGGAGTAAACTGGAGAAGAGAGATGTCGGGGAGTTTTCTAACTCTAGATTTCGACACTGACTGTTCATGAAAAATGAATTAAAATATCAAAAGTAGGGCCACGTTGTACTTATTGCATAATTCTTAGAAGCTTTTTTGTTTGGGTAAGTTGTGTGTCGAGGACCCCCAAGACACCCCTGAATAAAAACACGTTCACAAATCATTTTTGTTTTGGATTTTGGCCACAACTTTATTGAATTACAGTAAGTGAGTGGTTGCTTAGCATTGGTTAGTGACTATCTGTTCCCACTTGGAGGTAGGACAACCATACCCATGCGGAAGTCAGTAAGGGTAAGCAATTTTGGGGAGAGAAAAAGCTGGGTGCCAGGCTCACACATCTCCCCAAATGCTCCCTGGGACTCTTGCATGGCCCTAGCCCTTTGTCAAGGATACGAACAAAAGCATGGCGAGCCCCTGGATTCCTTTAACAGAATACCTTTGCAGCAGCAGCATTGAAGGGGCAGGCACAGCCAACCTCATCCCCTCCACCAACCAAAAAATTAACCAATGCCTAACCGCATGCTTTTGAATTATGGTGCTGGAGGTGTTAAGTTGTGGGCGAACATGTCAGACGACACAGCGATTCTTTAAACAGCTCTTCTTTATTCAGATGCCAGAAGAGAACTAGGCTGAGGAGCTCAGTCAGCCTGCTTATATAGAGCTCCAGAACAATGCAACTGTTGCCATTTTCTAAAACTACCCAATCACTGAACGTCACTTTTCGATCCTTCATTTGCATAACTATCTACAGTATCCACCTGCTGGCCCAGGGTGAGAACTTCAGTACATAACAGGAGGAGACTCTTGAGAGTCCCATGGACTGCAAGAAGATCAAACCTATCCATTCTGAAGGAAATCAGCCCTGAGTGCTCACTGGAAGGACAGATCCTGAAGTTGAGGCTCCAATACTTTGGCCACCTCATGAGAAGAGAAGACTCACTGGAAAAGACCCTGATGTTGGGAAAGGTGGAGGGCACAAGGAGAAGGGGACGACAGAGGACGAGATGGTTGGACAGTGTTCTCGAAGCTACCAGCATGAGTTTGACCAAACTGCAGGAGGCAGTGGAAGACAGGAGTGCCTGTCGTGCTCTGGCCCATGGGGTCACAAAGAGTCGGACACGACTAAAAGACTAAACAACAACAACAACAACCACAACTTACAAGTTGTGGCGATTTGCTACGCAGTAGGCAAAACCCAAATGGCACCAGCCAATCAGCCAAATGGTAAAATTCCTACCAGGCCCCTGCTCCAAAGCAAACGACCCCATGACAGGCATAGCAAGGTAAGCGCAAACAAACCCTAAATAAAGGGAGAGTGGGCAGGTAATCCGATGTGTGCAGCGAAAAGAAGAAGCTTAACACTGCACACAGGGACATATATAGCACCCCCATCAATCAAATAAAATTGCAACAATCGGTTTCCCCCAGCAACATTGGAAGTGCCCAATCAAATCCGTGGCCATCCAAACTAACCCGCCCAGCAACAGGAAATGTCATGGTTGCTCCCACTGCAACACGTGCTCTCCATGAAGGAGAACCCGCTCTGTCTTGTAATGCTACCTTTGTTTGATTTTACACCCAATTCCCTCTCAAGGGACATAGGCTCTTCTAAGGCCCACTCTTAGTCAGAGAAATAAAACAGAAGACAACCAGGTAAAAGAAAGCAAGGCAGGCGCCATCATGTGTAACGTGTGAAAAAGGGGTCTTCTGAATGTGTATGGAAGTATCCCCATAAAGAAACACAATTCCCCCATATGCTGTCTTGAACAATCCCTATATTAAAATATGGATGCAAATTTGGATCGACTGCTCTTGCATGCCAAAACTGGGAAAGCCATTGGGTGTCACTAGAGCTTCATCTCAGTGCTAAAACATTTGGAAGAAATGGATACAAAAAATGAGGGATTATTAGAGTCACTGCGAGTGTTGACATAATGGAATAAAAAAAGCAATCTCTTTTCTTCCTAGGGAAAAATTTTTGATGCTTCCATGCAGCAGACATATGACTCATATTTTTTTTTTTTGCAAATGTTCCTATCCACCTCCTCTTTTCCCCCCTTAGCAACTCCTTAAGGATTTGTGGTAGCCCGATTTTCCCTGCATTGTAAATTGGATCATTCAGATTCTGATTTAACAACTTGCAGGCTAGATTGATTTTAAATCAAGCTTCCTATTGGTACTACTTATTCCTTAAACTGGGACGCAGGTGGCGCTGTGGGTTAAAGCCTCAGCACCTAGGACTTGCCGATCGAAAGGTTGGCGGTTCGAATCCCTGCGGCGGGGTGCGCTCCTGTCGTTCGGTCCCAGCGCCTGCCAACCTAGCAGTTCGAAAGCACCTTCGGGTGCAAGTAGATAAATAGGGACCGCTTACTAGCGGGAAGGTAAACGGTGTTCCGTGTGCTGCGCTGGCCTGCCAGAGCAGCGATGTCACGCTGGCCACGTGACCTGGAAGTGTCTGCGGACAGCACTGGCTCCCGGCCTCTTGAGTGAGATGAGCGCACAACCCTAGAGTCTGGCAAGACTGGCCCATACGGCAGGGGTACCTTTACCTTTACCTTATTCCTTAAACTACAATGCAAATCTGACCACTAAACTGTGTTAGTATACAAGTAATTGAGTATTGATATGTTTGTGTTTCAGTCTTCAGTCTTACACCTAGCATGTGTTTGTTGCATTGTACAGTGGTACCTCGGGTTAAGTACTTAATTCGTTCTAGAGGTCTGTTCTTTAACCTGAAACTGTTCTTAACCTGAAGCACCACTTTAGCTAATGGGGCCTCCTGCTGCTGCTGTTCTCTGTTCTCATCCTGAAGCAAAGTTCTTAACCTGAGGTAATATTTCTGGGTTAGTGGAGTCTGTAACCTGAAACGTCTGCAACCTGAAGCGTATGTAACCCAAGGTACCACTGTAGCTAAAAAAATTCAATTTTTATCAGAGTTCCAGATATGCATAAGAAGGACCGTAGTGGATCCTTTTGGCTTTGAAACCATTTTCATATTTTTTCTTTCAAGGAAATAAGCATTGTTTTGTACATTATGAAAACTTGGTTTATACCCAAGTCAGACAAATTCTTTGGCACATATTTCCCCCCCC